CGTCTTGTGGTGACGAGCAGCCTTTTGGCGCTTGCCCCTCACCGCCGCTTGGTTTTCCATGGTTCGTCGGTCGTTCAAATTCCTATACTAGGAGAGTCGCCGCTCGACTCTCCCGGGTTTCGGCACCAAATGTCGCGAACCATGGACATACCCTTTACATAAACCACTCGAAGCAGACCATATTTTCCTTAGTGCCCAATTTTCTTGTGAATCAAGACTGAACTGAATATTTACAAGGGGAGAGCGATAATATAGGTGAGTCGGAGTGTATGCCTGTAGCAGTAGTGTGCCGTGAAAGTGTCTTGCGTACAGCGTCAGCAGAAATATACAAGCGATAAATATACAAACGCATCGAAATTAGCTCCCAAGGAGTAGCGAAGAATCAAAGAGAAGCAAGAAAAGCACCAAGTTGTGGAACTAAAACAGCTCCACGTGCATGTAGCTGAAAAGGTGACACATAAAGATACGCACGGTGCAACGAGTCCAACTGTGAGCATGAAAATGGATAGTGAAGGCCATCAAAGATGCCGATAGTCGTACACACAGTCCGTGTTGGATGTCGGTGCGTGTGCAAGCCAAGGTGCATGGGTTCAAACTGAATCAAAGGGTGCCCGGAACGGAAACATTAGAAATGCAACGAATTGCAAGGTGAGAAAAGGGGTGTCACAAAGGGATGCGAGTGATTGAACGTACAAATCATGCACTGAACAAGGATACATGTATACGTAGCTGTGAATTCTTGGTTATATACATGCATTGTGCTCGTGACTACGAATAAATCCGATCGCATTCGCGACACTTGGAAGGTTCTAAGTTATATGATAATATAGGAGGGGAAGCAGGGACGTAGCCAGGATAGTGATCAAGGGGGGTGCCAAGACTTTCCCCACACAGATGTACATGCACTTATGTTGGTCCTTTCATTAGGCATATGCGGATAATGCCGGCAGAAAATTGGCAGAATTCGGTACTTTTTCTGGTAAGTTTCATGCATGTTTGGTATGTGGATACAGAAATGGAGCAGAATTCGAGGAATTGCCCGCCATAAGGTTTGTATGGTTCTGCCATTTTCACTGCTTTTTGAGCAGAATCTGCCAGCTTTTCGAGCATTATCCGCACACCCCTACCTTTCATGCACATTATTCGATCCGTGAAATGGGGGGGGGGGGAGCAAAATTCGCCCCTAATTCGACGCTGAAGATCAATCAGTGAATGGCAAATCTCCAACCAGGGAGTAGTAATAATTATGGTATTTTACTACACCCTGGCCTGCTTCCAACTAATGATGGAGTAAGTCCCGGATGCTGCTTTCTCCAGAATTATCACACTCTCCATCGAACTTTTAAAGTGGGATTTCTCGAGCCATTTTTCCCCTTCGTCATGTTTGATAGTGCAGTAAGGCATCCTTGATCAAACCTACACTATTCCCCACAAAAACTCAAACTGCACTTCAACGTTACTTTCACTCTTCTAATGCTGTATCCACACTTGCAATGCATGAAAGAAACTTTGCCTTTCCACAACGAGACCAAATAACAGCGAGAACTACATTATACAAAACATGGCGAGAACAAACTGCTATGTCTGACGTGTGCTTTCCGGCCATAGACTGCGTTGCTACTTCCTTGCTTCTACCAATGGCGTGTTTGTATGATTCTTTGCTTCTAACAAAACATGTGGAGTGCACTACAAATCATGTGCTGAGCCTGCTGAGGCCTGATGTGACACTGCACAACGCTGCACAACCCTTGACTAGAAATTTCATTGCAAAATGGCCAATCATGAGACAAAAATTAATAGTCCACTAGCATGTGGATTGGTTTCAGATACATTGTACTTGCACTTGTCTGAACCAGGAAGTAAAACCTACTACTCCATGCTGGTCTAAAACAGGGCAGGGATGGCTACAGTGTGAGATGTGCAGAGTTGCGCATGTGATCAGCGGGTCTGCTATGGTCTCTCTCTCGAACCAGCTGTGAACCAGGATCGAAATTTTTGAGGGGGGTGCTTTAGCACCCAAAGCACCCCCCCCCCCCTGCCTACGCCCCTGGGAAGGTGAGCGCAACCAAGACGAGCATGAGCTGAAAGTCTCAGCTGTGAAGGACGTTGGTGGATGTACATTCATGTAGATGACGAAATAGATGATACATTTTGGATTATTCATACATAAATTTTGGCTCGGCAATTTTCAGGATACATGCACTAGTATCCGTCATCTTCCAGAGTTTCCGCTGTAGAGGTTGCGCGAATGATGTCATGGTGATGTCATGGTGATGTCACGGTGATGTCAGCTGAACCACTTATGGGTGCTATGTGTATGTATGCGGCGGAACCGTGTATGGGGCACCGTGTACATGTATACAGCATGAGTCGCTAGTGCATCGCTGTGCCGTGACTTTGCCAAAGCATCTCGATCGATGAAACAATCCCATAGCCTCTATATGGTTGGACCGTGAAGTACCGCCGCGAGAGCGTCCCACCATCTCGTCCTTTCGTGGTCGCATTGCAGAGGTGGTGTCCCGTCTGTAGGTCATACGAAACAAACCGTGTACACACCCTGCACGTTGTGCAGTCAATCTGTACCCGATTTACCTTCGAGCAGACAAGAGCTCCACACAAAAACCTGCTAAGTGTGACCTTAGTACACTAAGGTTCTAACACCGTACAAACTTCGTTGCACTCTGCCGTACGATTTTCCTTACCCTGGCTGTAAAACCAAGGTGGGGTGCTCTCGCGAGACGAGGCGGGGCGCTCTCGCGGCACTTTACGGTAATTGTAGAAGCGGTCAAAGCGTTGTACTTCACTGTTTTACACCGCCGTCTGTAGCTATGGTGTCAGTGTACCGTATTTTACCGGTTGTAAGTCGACCTCCGAACTTGGGGCCCTCGGTTTACCGGTTTAAGGACAGTTACACCCCGCTTGTAAGTCGACTACCCCATTTTAGGTCGGCTTTCAGGTCAGTAAAAAGTCGACTTATTACCGGTAAAAACACGGTATATTATATTTTTTGGCATGTACCGCAGAGCAGAGGTCACATGTCTTACGAGGGCTGCATGAACATGGGGGTCGGATTCCCAGAGCAGTTGCAATATACAGTAAAGTCTGCCCTAATCGAAACCAGATGCCCTTGGTGCAGCGGAAACTGACCTGCTGATATGACAGGATTTCGCTTGATCCAGGCATGCACGCTCGGTCCACAGGGTATGCCCCCACATGAGCGCGACCCAAAACAGCGCCGTTGACTTCAGCGCCCCCCAAAAGCCCCATCCCCATAACTGGACATCCCCAAAACAGACCACCCCGTCAGCGCGCACGCTCAATACAGGTCGACTCATTTACACTCAAACCCAAAAGATGGACACTCGACTTGTCAAAGACTCAAATCATGATCAACTCGAAATGGCCAGTTCAGTGTTGAAGGGCGATATTGCCTGGACTCAATTTATAATCAACTCTAGAAAGCAATGATGAACTAAAAAAAGCAATTATCGACTCAAAAACACCAGTTCAGTATTAAATGGCGATATTGCCTGGATGGACGTTAACAGGTCCAGATACAAATAGGTTGTAGTCCACGAACCACGAACCTTCCAAGTAGTTGGAAGGTTGGTTTGCGCACTGGAGATGTGTTAGAGCTAGGTCTCGGGCCGCTGAATGTCTCAGTGGCCTGTCAGTTTCGTGCCCTATTATCGCACAGTCACTTTCTGACTGTTTATCATCTTGTTACAGTCGTGGATAGTTGCTGCACAACTTGTTCTCATGTGTTTCTTCTCTTTTTTGCATATCTTTTTTAGGAACGGGTTTGCTCCTGATATTCAGCATGGTAATACTAACATCAAGAGTACATAACACTGGTTATGCTCTCTTGCTAACATGAGCCTGCACATTATGGGTCACGTGTGTAATGAGCTGGCTTATATTCGGACGTTAACGTAATTGGTCGCGCCAAAATGGGGCGTGCAAGAGATGAGACGAGCTGTAGTGACACCGTGTCACATTAGGTCGCGCTGTACTGGGGGTGCTAATATGAACACGCGCCGTTTATGGTTGCGCTGTTTTGGGTGTAAATCGTCCACAGCACTTTAGCGCATGGCAATTTGTCCGGTTAACGCAGGATTCTGCTTGGCATAGGGTTTGGCAAACACTGGTTTTACAGTTTTACTGCAATACGGTGCGGTGAGCAGAGGAAGCGGAATGTTTACTCTCGTCCGGTGAGACCATTGTACATGTATAATGTAGTGTTATCCCATTGTCATGTGACTAGATGCAGCATTGTACATGTACCGGAAAGTACTGCCAGAGCGCTCCGTCTCGCGAGAGCGCCCCGCCCTGAATTACGGAAAGAGGACTCTCGATTCCGGCCATAGAAGTGAACGTCGTATGGTCCGGTGGAAAGGGGTTCACTCTGTTCTTGCAGCATTGGGTTTGTGTACTCTGATAAGACACTGGTATTGCTTAGTACAGACTTTGTCCGGAGCACTGCTGTACTGATCCGAAATGCTACGTACACCGACCGGCTGCCCACCAGTGTACAGTAGAACCTGTCAAGGCGACCACTCGGATAAGGCGACCACCTGTCCTAAAAGGCCACTATAAAAACCAGGACCAAGGGATGCTACATTCCAGTCTAATGACCCTGGATAAGGAGACCACCTGATAACAGAGACCACGTTTTGAAGGTCCCTTGAGCGGTCGTCTTAGACAGGATTCACTGTACATACACACGGTATACGTGTACAATCAAGAGTACTTTTTTTTTTTTTAATCTACATCCTCTTTTACGGGCTAAATCAAAGTGACACAGCTTGTGTCGAAGAATAGAAGAAAACGAAGCCGAAAAGTACTATGCTGTGAAACACGCACGAGGCATGATCAGGGCATATGGCAGCTGAAAGGGTCGGAATTGTTTTGGTGTGCATGTCTGTCTTATCAGACTTCTCCTGTGCCTTGTATGTTTTCTACTGTCCTGTTTGGCTGTCTTCCTGTTGCTCTGCTCGCAGTACGATGAAGAAATGGCAGCAAGAGAGAAAGATATACGCAAGTAGGTGCTTGAGAGATTGCTGCAGAGCAGCACATGTCAGTATAAATACAATGGGTGGGTGTGTAGGGGGGGGGGGGGGGGGGCGATAATCGGCCCGATACCCTTGGAGCCTGTCTAACACGGATTGCTATGTGTGTTTGTGTGTGGGGGGGGGGGGGGGGGAGCTGACTTGGCTGCTCCCAACTTCTGGGTCCTACTCTCAAGATCACATAACCCCCAGGAGTGTGCAGCTGCCTGTACAATCTCCATGCAGTGCTGCGACGGCAGAGCTTCACATCACATGACATGGTTCTTTAGGTTTTAGGCAGGTTAGCAGTGCAACGTCAAGAACGAACAGATAGTTGTGCCCAAAGCAGGGTTGTACGAAGGGGAGGGTTGTGCCCAAAGCAGAGTTGTGCCCAAAGCAGGGTTGTACTCAAGGCAGGGTTGTACCAAAGCAGTGTGGTGCCCAAAGCAGGGTTGTGCCCAAAGCAGGGTTGTGCCCAAAGCAGAGTTGTGCCCGAAGCAGGGTTGTACCCAAAGCAGGGTTGTACCCAAAGCAGGGTTGTACCCAAAGCAGGGTTGTACCCAAAGCAGGGTTGTACTCAAAGCAGGGTTGTACCAAAGCAGTGTGGTGCCCAAAGCAGGGTTGTACCCAAAGCAGGGTTGTACCCAAAGCAGGGTTGTACTCAAAGCAGGGTTGTACCAAAGCAGGGTTGTGCCCAAAGCAGGGTTGTACCCAAAGCAGGGTTGTACCCAAAGCAGGGTTGTACCCAAAGCAGGGTTGTACCCAAAGCAGGGTTGTGCCCAAAGCAGGGTTGTGCCCAAAGCAGTGTGGTACCCAAAGCAGGGTTGTGCCCAAAGCAGGGTTGTGCCCAAAGCAGTGTGGTACCCAAAGCAGGGTTGTGCCCAAAGCAGGGTTGTACCCAAAGCAGGGTTATACATGTACCTCAAGCACGGTTGTACCAAGAGTCCATACTCCCCCGGAGTGCGTAACTTCACTTATCAGATCTGGGGCGGCGAAATCCGTGTTGCACGTCATAGTATGACATCATGAGTAGGGGAAGTGTGGACCAAGTCGACGGAATGACGCAAGTCCGACCCAAAAAATGACGTACATCGCGGATTACGCCGTCCCACAACCCCATCCCAGTTGCGCACCCTGGGGGATTATGGACTCTTGGTCGTACCAAAAGCAGGGTTATACCCAAAGTAGCGTTGTTCCCAAAGCAGGGTTTTACCCAAAGCAGGGTTCTACCCCAAGCGGGGTCATGTCCCAAGCAGGGTTTTACCCAACGCAGGGTTATGCCCAAAGCAGGGTTGTACCCAAAGTAGGGTTGTACCTAACGCAGGGTTGGACCCAAACCAGGGCTGTGCCCACTCCGGTAGCTATCATGCACAGAGTGCAGATTTCATGCACGGGTGTGTCACATTATGTGAACTTCTACTGCCGCTGACCGTCATAGACTGGAGCTGAACACACTCTTGGCGGTTATGTACGCTGGCGGCAACTGAAATCCAACCTCATGGGTATAAGAGCCGAGTAGGTTGTGCAGCCCTAGCCCTGCGAGCAATAGGGCTGCGCAGTGGATCAGAGTCTCCCGTACTCAGGGGTTGGATTTCATTTCCCACCAGTGTGTTCACGAGCATGTCTTAGGCATGCTCACATCCGGGTGCCGTGTCTAGTTATGACAAGCCTGGCGGAACCGGTCCGGTTGGTCAAGCCATGGCCGGACCAACTATTTGCCCAACGCAGTGTGTCTACTACTGAGAGGTCATGTGTATTTGGGCACGCTGTAAGGAGACCTAAGGGTCTGTTGGGAATGCCCAAGTAAAATAATAAAATACAATGCAATACCCTACATTTCATACACAAACTGTAAGAAAGGCTAGGGTATGGCCGAATCAATCAAAAACTGCTTTATCCGGTCCCGTTGTGGCAAGAGTGCACAAACAAAAAAAGTATGCAACTGTGGTTATGGGTCCGTATGCGCTGCGCTGCCTTCATTACGTATCCTGCCTGCACCACGCTCTGGGCGTACGCACTCAAATCTCCGATATCCGTACCAGCACATCCATTTTTGCGTGATTTGTTCGAGCACCGGCACGATCTCTAAATTGTGCCCTGAACTTCAATTTCGTACATGCGGTCGTTTCAAACCAAGGGAGAGTGCGGTGTTTAATTTTCAGCAGCGCGCGGCTGGCAGCTGAATGATGTAATGAAGGCAGCGTGTCGCACATTTGGCGCACAGAAAAAGATCACAGGTCTTTTGCTCACTGAGCGATACAATCTTTCCATTTTCTTTCTTCTGTTTTCTTTTTCAACTTAATGCTCCCTACCCAATATCCCTTTGGTGCGTCCATAAAGCTATGAAGCCAAGACCTCTGGTCGGCGGAGCTTAAAATTGGCCCCACCACCACACTCCATTATTCACCCCAGTGCCTGGAGATATGTGGATTTTGCAGAAAAGAAGAAAAAAAGGTGCATACTCTTGTCTATTGGCACTTGATTGCTGTTTTATTTGTTCTTCTTTTGCTGCCTTGCTGGTCTCTCGTTCTACAGCATGGAGATCAGCAACATGATCTCGAATTGGTCAAGTTCACTTGATGAGGTAGGCAGTGAGGCCAAGACCGGCTTGCCGGCTGAGCACTTCGCACCCCATCACCAATCCGATATTTATAGGCCCCTCATTGCCCTCTGTATCGTCTTCCGTGTGATTTGTTGGGTTGTGGTAAAATATTGTGCGTGCGTGTGTGTACCATGTACCATGTATACGCCCGTCGCAAGAGAAGCACGCAAATCTGCAAATGCACTGGAAGTGCACCCACAGATTTTCTCTTATAGCAACGATAGCGACAAGATCTGAATGAGACAGATCAAGACTTGCGCCAGATAACTGTCTAATCCACACAACTGGCGAAGCCATGTGAATCGACCACCAATGCACACCTGGTCTACACCACACGGAGTACATCGGCATAAAACGGCCAAGACAGTTACCTATGCACACCCTACACTTGCTGGGGTAACCAGTATAGACAGCACGCTGCTTTGATAGAAGCAGACACTAGATGCACTGGTACCTTGAAGTGAAATTGGAGTTACTTTACCAACCAGCCTCGGCTACTGAGTACTGGGAACCCAGAGCAAACAGACATACCAACAACCTCAGCCATGAAAGCTATTATAGTAACGACACACTGGATTGTGGAGCCGAAACTAGTCCAACTTCCAAATGCTTTGGCAAGAAGGTAGCCTTCCAACAGGTTGGCGTGTGTGTGTGTGTGACCTCTCGACGCGAGCACGGGATTGATAGCAAGCCGACACATACGCTTGTATAGCTGAGCTCACTGAGTGCGTACTCTAACAAGACATACTCTTGCTTAGTACGGTCATTGCCTGGATCACTGGTGCACAGATCCATGCTGAAGTGTGTCGGGATAGGAAATACCTCGGATACTCAGTACCCTTTTCTACTGCCCATCGGGTTTCGTCTTATCGGAATTCCACTGCATTTCAGGTACAATTTGATTCACTGGCAGTGGCAGTGATGTGGAGAGTGGCTTGACAGGTGGCAATTCCCAGTACAAGCCAATCTGTCATGCATAATTCTGGTTTGTCCTGCCATCAGGGTATGGCCCATCGTATTAACAAGCTCTTGGTTTTTGTTCTTGCAGAGAAGCCATTCCAAGACGGCCCGGCGTCACGAGTCCACCAAGAAGGAGGAAATGCGACTTGCCGGCCATGAGCTGACTGCGGTAAGCGAGGGTTTCATGCCTTTTGTAGTCACTGCGTGTGCGTTCCAAGGTACTTGACCTTGAATGTCAGTACTGCAATTGTGTGTGTGTGTGTGTGCGTGCGTGTGTGCGCGCGCGTGCATGCATGCGTGTGTGTGTGCGCAATTCCAGGACAAGTTACTATGGCTTCTGCTGTAGCATCGCGTCCGGCGATGGGTGAGAAATGGTCAAATGGTGTGTGTGTGTGTGTGTGTGTGTGTGTGTGTGTGTGTGTGTGCATGTGCCAGCTAGTTCGGTTGGTGGGTACACTTATGCCTGATTCTTTTGGTTCTGTTGCCAACAGGCTCGGCTGCTTGATGGTGTATTGTTGTACTTGCCCCCGTTGTTGGTTTCAGGGTTCATATACTTTCTATTTGAAGTATACATACCGTAAAGTCGCGGATAAAAGCCGGGTTTATAAGCACATAAGCCGCTTTCTGCATCAGGCTTCAATGCAAACCAGGCTTGTATGCAAACCATGCTTATATGCACCACTGATATTTTTGCCAGGCTTGTATGCACATCGGCCGATCCGGGCTTGCGTAGAAGCCTGGACAAGCGTAGATCTACCACTGACCACCGGTATGGCGGCAGTTTTACTATGCACTGTACATAGCGCATGCACTCTTGACCTACCCGATCCGCGCTTGCATAGAAGCCAGGCTTCTACGCGCGACAGGCTTATATGCATTTGACCCGTTTGATTTTCAGGCTTCTATCCGCGATGTGCTTGTATGCAAACCCGGCTTTTATCCGCGACTTTACGGTACCTCTTAACCATGAACTGCTTCTGGGTACTTCCTCCGTATACAAAAACTTCGTGACTTTTTTTTGAAAGCTGCGCACAGCTCTGAAATTATTCCGTTTGACTTGGAATAACACTCGTGGCATTGTCTAACCTGTTTACAAGCTATATACAAAGAAAAAAGCAACTCAGACGAATGAGATTGAGTTTTTTCAGAGTCTTCGTCGCTCATGTCATTGTCACCTGACGACGCTGACTCCGCATCGCCAACAGTCGCTGCTTCCGCTCGCATTTCGTTCAGATTCTTGTCACCTGCAGTGATGATCCGACGCTGGACTTTGGCTACGTCCTCTTCATCTCTAGAGCTGTGTACGAATCGGTGTCAACTATATTCAGTTGTTCCAACCCGCAACCTCCATTATGCCGTGAAACGAGTCGTACAAGCACATCCCCACGCTTCGCATTTTCTCGCCAGGAAAATCCTCCCAAGCATTCTAAAATGGCTTCGAGGAGGTCCCTGCGATTCCCCTTGGCGACAAAAGAGGCGTCTGACTGGAGAGAGGCGAAGAAAGCCAGGCCATCGACATTTTGATCCTGAGTCTGCGCTGGTTGCACGACGACTGAAATGTTTCATCTTGCCGTGCGAGCGAAACAAATCGATGTTCTCACGCTGCGTAGATATCATGGATATGGGGCCGCGCACCGCAAGTACGAGCCTGGCCAGTTTCAGGGCAGCGAGTGCCGCGTGACTTCGTGTTCCAGCCACGAGCTACACTTCGTCACTGTGTCAGTTTCGAGCAAGTAAGTGTTAGTTTTTTTTCATTTGACTCTTGAGTTTCTGTCGGCAACGTCCTCACACGCATGGCGTACGTGGAGAATCTGTTCGGGATCAACCAAACTCACCTCGACATGGACGTGGGTTGTCGATGACAGCCTTTGGCGCCGTTCGTTGAGCAGGTTCTTGCTCAAAAACACCGTGCAAAAAAGTCACGAAGTTTTTGTATACGGAGGAAGTAGATTAACTCTTCTGTAATCATGGTGCTAGTGAAGCTTGTATCAAACCCACTCTGATTTAGCCACCCACACTAGTAGCGAGTATTACCTTCACTGGGATCCCGGCATGGATACACCCCCTAAAATGTTTGACCTAGGTTCAGCATGGACACAACTACCATGAATGGTATGCACCAACCATCCTACACATTATGCGGCCGTGCACCCGCCTAAAAGGGGGACCAGGTACGCTCCTGCATTCCAGAGTGCTAGAGACTGGCCCGGGCCGGCGTAACTTATACAGGCCCTCTGTGTACCAGTACTGTACAAACCCTCCTGTCTATTCTGTCTCATTTGGCCCGGAGATCTTTTGTTGGATAGTGATCCCATGCTCATCACTCGCTACATGTGTGTGTGTGTGTGTGTGTGTGTGTGTGTGTGTGCGCGTGCGCGTGTGTGTGTGCGCGCGCGTGTGTGTGTGTATGTGTGCGTGTGCGTGCTTGCCTGTGTATGCGCATGTGCATGTGTACATGCATGTGGGTGCGCGCATGCTCATGCATATGACCGTGTACTGTGGGAATGTGTGCTTGCCTCTACAGCTACGTAAGACGCAGATGAAAGAGTTGTTTGCGAGGGAAGAGGAGCAGTATCGGAGAGAGTTTGAGGAGAGGGGAGTCACCTTCTACAAGGAGAGAATATAAATATAGAGGTGAATGGAAATCGTCGTCACAGTGTGTTGGGAAACAGAGATTCTGCAATGCCATGTTATGAAACTTGATTATTCTGTCGTTAGCTTTGTCAGCCAAACCGAAATGATCGTACGTGTCAGTAAGCATCCACATTTGCATGAGCTTTATCGATTTGATGATAAAAATACTTTCTGAGTCAGACAGGGCTTCTGTTTGCCTGTCACGCGGCTTGCTGTGTTGATTGCATTCCTGGAACTGGTCCATGGAGTCCGAAGGTGGGCCCATAAATAAAAAAAATCATGGTTCGCTTGAGACTCGGCCAAATGCCCAGTTTTCCGCATCCGCAGGAATGCCAATTTAGTCATCTTTCCAAGATTTGTTCTGAATCCCTCTCCCCTCTCCCAAGAGTAGATCCACATGGCCAGTTTCTGGCAGTGAAGAAGTACAAATCCATGTGTATGTATGTGTGTGTGTGTGTGTGTGCGCGTGCGTTCATGTGCATTGCGCGTGTGTGTGTGAGAGGGGGGGGGGGTACTTTAAGAATTTGAACACAATGCACCGCAGTGCACGTACACTCTATGTGTCACTGAAAGGGAGCCGGGAGACTCGAATGAAAAGCTGGAGCTACTAAGAGACTTTCTTGGATAAGGATACATCACAGCCAAGTCACCGATATTATAGACATGAAACGCACTTTGTACACTGCACAGAAACCATGACAGAGGAAAGCACATGAAACATAGTTATTTGCACATGTACATGTTCCGCATGACGTAGGAAACACAAGCAACATAATTGTAGCTTGACAGTGGAAATCACAATAAAAACTCTGCATTCTATGACATAGGAAACCACGGCGCACACACACTCTGACAGAACGCTGTCCTGGGCCACGCAAACGTTTGTAGTGTATATATACTCATTCAGTGAAATGACCACATCCAGACAGTGTAGGTCTATGAACCCGTTCAGACTGACATTGAAAGCTCCGCGTCAGGTTAGTTTCCCGTGACCTCGAGCAGATTTCCGACTAGCATGCGGGTATATCCTTGTCTCAATACTGGAACGCTGGTTGTCCCCGATCTCGGCGATCGTTCTCGGGAATGGTAAGCGGGCAGAGGAAGTCGGAGTGCCGCACGCCGAACGAGAATCCCGGCGCTCGGCGTTTGCCGGCGTGCACCTTTTCGGGCCGGTACGCCCCGGGGCCGGGCAAGCGTGCCGCGTCCCCGGGTATGTGGGTGTTGCGCCGCATGCTGTACACTGGTGCGCGGCTGCTCTTGTACTTGCTGGGGTCGGTGGTGTCGTAGGCACCGGGTCCTGGCGCCTTGGTGTAGTCTTCACCATAGGCACCTGCACGACGAAGCGACACCATCAATGAATATACAATGTACAGTCAACTTGGCTTATAACGACACTCGGCGGGGCATCAAAAAGGTGTCCTTATTCGCGCAGTGTCGTTATACCCGAAGCCTCATTATATGTACTACAGTGGGATGGGACTTTGCTCTGGGCATGGAAATTCTGTCGTTATTCGCGAATTGTCGTTATATCCGCAGTCGTTATTAGCGAAGTTGACTGTAGTCAATGAATACTAGTATACGTGGAGATAAGATAAACAAATTCACGGTTCCCGTAAGACTCGGCTAGCGGCCGAGTTTTCCGCATCAGTAGGAACGCCACCGCCCTTCAAGGATCAAGGCGCAGATGCAGCTCCTAAAGCGGTGGGAGGTGAGTAGATCAGCTCACCAGCAAGCGGTCAAAGACCGATCAAAGACAGCCATGAACGAAATGAAACTCACGCTCATGTCCAACAACAAATTAGCTTTTGGTGGTCATCCATTTTCTTTCATTCACGACATTCCAGTGAAGAATGTGACAGGAAAACGTTCTGGAACAAAACCACCATCGCTACTTCGTTGTTTGACATAAACGTTCATAGTAATCTTTTAAGACAAAAAGTCGTCACGAATGTATTTTTTGATAAAAAACACGAACCTTCAGACATGTGGTGAGATCCGACCAGCTTGTCCGACACTGATAGGTCTCGGAGTCACCGCGGGGTGCAATTAAAACCGATGTACAAATGTCGTACAAAGTACAGTATAACCTGACAAGGCGACCACTCGGATAAGACGACCACCTGTCCCAGAAGACCACTGAAACCGGGACCAAGGGATGCTATTTCCAGTCAATTTGCCCTGGATAAGGCGAGCACCTGCTTACAGAGACCACATTTTGAAGGTCCCTTGAGCGGTCGCGTTAGACAGGTTTCACTGCATGTCGCTGTCCTTGACATTATGACAGGTGCAATAACACAGTTCACTTTACTACAGAAAAACCTGTAACTAACAACCACCGTGACTAGCGACCAGCCTTGTACTACAGACCACCTCGCCAGGCACGGACGGTCTCACATTCACACAATTATGGTTGTGCGGTGCAAACCTCTTTACTAATGACCACCTGGCACTAAAGACCGCTTTCTCTGGCCCCACGGGGTGGTCGTTGGCCACAGGTTGTTTACTGTAGTATCACACACATTATACATACCGGTAAGGCAATCAGCAACTGGAAGTTGACAACATTGTTATGTCTTCTCAAATAGTTCTCAGGGGCAGCCATGTAACAGTACTTTGTTGCACGCGTTCCTCTGGGGCTCAGCAGTAGCAGCACGATAGCTAGACTTTTACATGGATACCTACATGTACATGTACATGTATTGGCTATAAAATTAATGAGAGTCCTCCGGCTCGGTACAGTGCTCAATATTCATTTGAATAGAGCTATCTTACACACGGCACAACTGAGCACCGCACATCATTCGTTGTAAATACCGTGAAGTATTGCCAGAGCGCCCCGTCGCGCGAGAGCGCCCCAACTTGATTTTACAGCCAGGGAAAGGAAATTCGTATGGCAGAGTGCAACGAAGTTTTGTATGGCGTGAGAACCTTTGTATACTAAGGTCACACTTGGCAGGTTTTTGTGTGGAACTCATGTCCGCTTGCAGGCAAATCGAGTATGGATTGAGTGCGCAGCGTGCGACGTGTGTACAAGGTTCGTGTCGTATGACCAACAGGTGGGAAATCACCCCCACAATACGACCACGAAAGGACGAGAAGGTGGGGCGCTCTGGCGGTACTTTACGGTAATAGTTTCATGCCCATAGGCAATCATCATACACAATCATAATTATAGGAGATCCCCCAGATAGGCATTGGCCTTTGGGTAATCCTGAAAAGATGATTTGAAATCAGGCAACTAATGATTAGTTATCTGATGATTGCCTATGCCTATGGGCATGAAACTAGTGTTCCAGTCAAACCTGTCTAAGACGACCGCTTACTTCAAAACACGGTCTCTGTTACCAGGTGCTCTCCTTATCCAGGGTCATTTGACTGCAAATAGCATCCATTGATCCTGGTTTCAGTGGTCTTCTGGGACAGGTGGTCGCCTTGACAGGTTTTACTGTAGTCACAACGCATGATGCGTGCCGTGCTCTGTGCCGTGTGTCTAGGCTGTACTGTATACATGTACAGTGCTAACACAACAGTGACACAACCGAGTCCTTTTCTGCCATTATTGTGTTGGATTGTAGTACTGGCTCCGTCCACTGGACATAGCGCACCCAGTGTGAATCTTAGACAATTGACTAGGCTATACATGGACATTGATGCCTATACTAGTTTCCCTCATAGACGCAACACCTGCTTCACTCTCCCGTAGGGGTGTGTGTGTATACATGTACGGGTGTGATGAATATGTAGCCAACCTCCGAATAACGACCTCAGATACGCAGTGAATCCTGTCTAAGACGACCGCTCAAGGGACCTTCAAAAAGTGGTCTCCATTGCCAGGTGCTCTCCTTATCCAGGGCCATTTGACTGGAAATAGCATCCATTGGTCCTGGTTTCAGTGGTCTTCTTGGACAGGTGGTCGCCTTATCCGAGTGGTCGCCTTGACAGGTTTAACTGCAACACCAACTCACGAATAACTACACAGCCATACACTATCCTCAGACCAAGCGTGGAGGTAACCACTTGACGGCTTGATTTTAACGTCGTGAATACCAGCACTCTCTTGTGGAAGTTGTGGTGGATGGAGGGACGTTATCTGCAAATTGACTGCACACAGTAATGCACTACCGGTATTTACATGCATACAGTTAAACCTGTCAAGGTGACCACTCGAACAAAGCGACCACCTGTCCAAGAAGACCACTGAAACCAGGATCAATGGATGCTATTTCCAGTCAAATGACCCTGGACAAGGAGAGCACCTGGTAACAGAGACCACATTTTGTGAAGGTCCCTTGAGCGGTCGTCTTACACAGGTTTCAATGTATCTGTTGCTACTTGTCATACCTTTCTTGGGTCTCTTGGTCAACGTCCAGGCGGCTGCATTGCCCATTGTCATCGTGCCTTGACCCATGAGCTCCGGCAGTGTGTAGGCATTCGGAGCTGGACCAGTATCTCCTCTTCGATAAATCCGCGCGCCCAGGCTGTAAGCCGGTGCTTGTGTCCTGGTCAGAGTGTGCCCCTTCTCCGGGGCATATGTACACGGGGCAGGCGTCCGGAAGAGTGCAGGGTTCTTCAACCGGGCATACAGGGAGAAAGCGGGTGCTCCATCCTTGCCTTTTCTGGTGATTTTGGGGTTGACATAGCGTCCCGGGCCGGGTCCCGAGTGATCGTAGTACCAGCAGGCGGTCGGCATGCCGATCGAGTAGGCCGGGTTCACCGGCTTGCTACAGTCGTGGCCTCGATGACCGGTGAGCGAGGGTAGCGTGTAGCATGCCGGGCCCGGTCCGCGCGCCATGGCCGCTACTGGGGGCCGCTTTTTCCGCCACGGGTCATCCGCGGTCGCATCTCGGCAATCCGCCATCCTCTTCAATGAATTCACGCCGCTGTGGCTGCTATAACGCGACTCATGGATAAGACGTTGATGTAACAAGCTAGCTGGTAATGCAGATATGAATCTAACTCGAAATGGTTTGGCATGGCGGTGATCGCAACAGCACTACTACTAACGGGTTGGACATGGTAACATTGTAGTGTTCCAATTCTCAATACTGGTAGTGGTAAACATACATGACGAAACAAGTCCTTGCACAGAGCTAGTACTGGCATGGCGGTGCATGCAGTCTGCGCGCTCCATCCATGTGACTAGACGTGTGGGACATTACGTTCGTCACTATTTTGAGTCTTGGCAGATATACACGTATGAGTGAGAATGCAAGTCGCCAGGAAAAGCGCGAGCTCCCACGCAGGGAGCAACACGGCGATTCTCCAGCTAGCTATCGCCGAAGTCGCTACAACGTCTTCTTCACACTGTCTACATTGTACAGTCGCGGCCAAAGAAATCCGACCTGCATGCCGAAAGCAGCGCCAAGGCTTGGGTCGTCAGAGACTCGTCACTGCGGCCCTCAGGCTCAGATGAGTTTTGGAAAGTGCATGATGTCACTGAAATGGAAACGCGGCACTACTTGTCACGGGTCGGATTTCTTTGGCCACGACCAGTCGTCGACTGTTGCAAGTGACTTGAAGTGGGCGTTTTTCTCCTGCACACATGGTAGATTGTGCTATTATTATTACGTTTGGTAGTAGCTGTCTGCAGCTGACTTGACGCTAGAAGCATTGAGGCTGCTGAAAAGGATTTGTGTGTGAAGCTAGGTCCCTAGGATCGTTGATTGTGGCGATAAAAAAATCCTATAATGTCTGTACAATGTCATGTAGGTTGGGCACCGTACGGCGACATCTACAGACAGAGGTGCATGATTCAGTGATTGGCAGCCTCCAGAATACAGCAAAGATATAGTCATGTACATCTGACAACCATAATCCAGTTTTGTATTTGCATTTTAATCCATTGTGTTAGTTTTTGCCCGTATTTACGGTTATAAAGGAGGCTCGTTAGACATGTACTTCTTTCTATAGACCTTATTCGATAACGTGACTTTTGGACTCGCCTCCATGGATTTGTCATAAGCTAGGGCACGCGTACGAGAAACGAGTGGCGAGAAAGGCCCAGTTTGTACAAAAGAGTAGTAAAGTACCGGTATTTATCTACTCCTATGTTCGCACACAGAGTCCACTGTGCACTGAGCGCAGATCTCTTGCCACTCCCTGGTTCCCGGGACCCCGGTTCACGTGATTGTGACGTTTATCGAATAAGGTCTATACACGCGCTGGATTGCACTACACTACAGTACAGCCAGGTACTGTTGTTGCGATAGTGCACACAGGAGTGGCAGGACAGGGTGAAGAGTCGCTCACACACGTACCGACATACACTGACTGTGGCCACAGTGAAACGAGGTACAGTATAGTGGGGTAATTTTGTTATAACGCGTTAACGCCGAATTTCACGCCAATGCCAATGGGAACCCGATGTTAGCACATCTCTCAACCGTCATTATGTGACAGCTATACTTTGAAGTAGTGATCTCACACATGCAAGAGGCTGCCTGCTTTGTTACGCGCTCTCACAAAGTCACATTTCGGGTTCCCAGTAAAAAGGCAACATTGCCTGTTGGGAAATCCCTAACAAAATAGGAAAAAATAAAAATAATAATGACACATCACTTGTGTACATGTACATGCGCTAATCCTTTCATACAAAAGAAAATGGACCCAGGAACAAGTTGAATTGTTGAATTCTTTATTCTCACGATGGCACCATCGCCAATAAGAGGAGTTAATTACGCTATTGTCCACTAACACCACCAGTTAATAAATAATCAGCTCATGCGATAACATTGCACGACGCTGACCGATGGCACTGACGTTCTTGAACCTTGAACCTGGAACTTGCACATTGCCGTAGGCAATGATAGCGAAAGGACTAATTCGGCGGCAACCGGCAGAAAGGTTCGTGGCGCTTGAGATCGCCGGGGCGGCGACACGTCTTCCCGCAAGCACAACGATACTCTGGCTCGGCGGAGACATCACGAGGCTGAGGACGACGGTGGATGACCTCCCTCCTCTCCGAGCGGTTCTGGGCAGTGTCGAGCCATTCCTTCTCCGGGACAGGTGGATCAATGCGGTTGAAGTCGTTCACAACCACATCCCGCCAACGCTTGCGTAGGCCGTGCTGCGGTCGAGTTGTAGAGAGCTCCCCAAACAGGGTACACTTTGGCAGACGGTCATCGTCCATGCGGCCAATATGGCGAGCCATCTTAGCCGACGCTCGCGGATGATGTCGCCGATGTCCGAATCAATTCCGAGGGTCTTCGCCAGTGTTGAAAAAGTGACTCGGTCATCCCATTGCTGGTGTCTCGAGATGCCGACAATATCCGCACGCACTGATGGTGGAATGCATTAAGACGGCGCAGATCAGGAGCCTTGGTCGTCCAGGTCTCTGCTCCATACAACAGGGTCGTAAGAACGAGAGCCACGTAAGTAGACACGACGTCGACATCGGAGGGACAAGGAGCGGTTCCCGAAGACAGGTGCCCGCAAGCAACCAAACACTCGAGACGCCTTAGAAATCCGCGACTGCACATCATGCGCACAAAGACCATCCCGGTGAATCACGGACCCAAGATATGTGAATTGGTCAACGGCGTCGATGCCGATGGTTCCATTCCCGAGATGAACGGGCTCACTGGTGGGAGTATTGATTGATATAGCTTTGGTCTTTGTCAAGCTGACGGTCAGTCCCCAACCAGAAGCACACGCTTATTGCATTGACCTGCAACTGCACAAGTAAACGTTCTGTTGGGCCACAGTTGGCTACCGTTTTACCGGCGATCCATTGCAGTTTTTTTTGTCTACTACGTGCTGTGTGTACTTACAACAGATCTACAAGTTCGAGGAAACACTGAAAAAGCGTCACAAGATAGGAGAAATTCAATTTCAAAAGTTCCATCTCAATCCCTGGACTTTCGCAGGACATCCCTGGACCCCGGGACAAGCACCCTATTCCCTGGACTGTCCCGGGAAACCCCGGACGGTTGGCATGTTTGGTGTTGGTTAGCCTGCCCTCGTGCCAAGCTCGCTTTGGCTCTCGGAAGTTTGGCACTGAGTCTGCCTATTGTAAGTAGTTTGATGCTTTGAGTAGCAGAGTTGGTTCAGAGACGCTTTGCTTACTAGTTTAAAGCTCATTGGGATCGCGGTTCTGCGAGTCACTCTAAGCTCCAATAGCAAGGAGGTGGACACAGCTAGCTGTCCGGAGATTGAGTGTCTCTACCATCCATGACCACCGAAAGCAGTTTTAGATTGGTCTGTCCATACCACTGGTTATACCAGTATTTCAGACTTTGTGTAAGATATGGCCCGGCGGCGGTACGTATTTTTTAAAGCTCCTGAGAAGTAAACTCACGCTGGTGGCCGACACGTGTGTCCGGTGATAACCTGACCAGCCGGACCGGTTCCGACAGGCCTGCTGGAATCATGTATTGTGTGTGATGTAGTATGCAACACCATGACCATGGGCATTGCTGTCTGTCATCCAGATCCTCAACTTACTTCTCAAGTCACTTGTTTGCGTGGCTCTCGTGTGTTAATCTTCGTGCTGCTGCTAATGCTTTCGTGTTAGGCATCGTGCTGCCGCCAATGAAGTGTCCCACACTCTGGCGGTGTCGGAAGCCCACATCTTGCGAGATTAGTTACCATTTTACTCGCTTCCCTCCTGTGCATTTGTTGCTTATCGTGTTCATGTCTGTGTTCATGTCTGTATTCAATTTGGTTTGCCCATCTTTTTTGTTTTTGCTTGTTTGGGAACACAGCCCCAGGGCCTAGGGCCATGCTGTGTGACTATTCGTGTGGAGTATAAAAAAAAATACGCTTCTCAAGTCAAGGCTCAACTATTCTGACAGATGTCATTGTTGTCTACCAAGGTCTACTACTAGTCGATGTCAAATCATGCACGAGTCATAGATCAACATGACCATGATGACTGTACGTGGCTGGATGTGTCCTGGGCCTATCGCTTTGCCTGTCCGCCTGAAACCGAGCTATTTACGCACATGACGTAAATATCGGAAGCTAGGTTTTGTTGATGCACGCTCTTTGCCAGCCAATCGCGCTGTTCAATGAATGGACGAGAACAGTATAAACACATCGACTTGTGCCGATGGGAAGCAGTAACATTTTACATTTTCGAGACAAGATCACCAAATAACTGAACGGCAGAAGAAGAGAGATGAGGATGAAGTTGCAGCTATCAAAAATCTTGGTGCCATTGCTCGTGTGCGCACTGGCTTCTGGAGTCTGGGCGCGCTTTGAGAGCGCTGATCGTGCGACCATTGTGAGTGAATTCAAGTCCGATTTCGTGGCCGCCGTGCCGGAGAAGCTGAACTTGGATCAAACAGTGACAGCGTCGGTGGTGCTGAAGCCGGATGGGATTCCGACAGTGGTCGGGGGCAAGGCCAGCGCGTACCGAGTTGTGTGGGCAACGTTCCAGCCCACCGCTCTGAGCACGGGCTGGGCACAGTTTGAGCTACACACGAACGGCTCTTATGCCGACACGGTGCAGGTCCAGGCGGCTGGTTTCCTGGAGGGATACTTGACAGCGCAGATGATATCGGATACATTCATGAACGTGGTGAAGGATTACTGCACTGGCAATGCAGCCACAGTTACCTACTGCCAGAAACTGACTTCATTCGTCTCATCCAATCTTCTGTGGGCCAACGCACAGAGGGCGCTGGCCAGAGACAAGTCGGAAACTGAAATCGCTTACTGGCATCAGTATGGTCTGATTATGGATCAGCTGACAGCTATGGTGAACGGGTACAACGTTCTCGCCGGGGATGTCGGCGGAGAGACCCTCGATCTGCTCGACTTCCTGATGATGTCTTACATGGGCGATCTGATCACGCTGGAGAAGGTGTTTGATCGACCGGAGAGCCTGCGAAGGCACAAGCTAGCCTCCACGTCGTGTTCGGCCATCGTGAAGGTGGTCGGCGACAACGAGGACGTCCTGTTCTCTCACACGACCTGGTCCAGCTACTACCTCATGCAACGCGTATACAAACTGTACGATCTGCAAGTGAGCACGGACGGGCGAGCGGCATCGACGGACGCGGAGCCCGTCATCATCCACGGTGCCGAGGTTGGCTTCTCCTCGTATCCGATGAGCATGCAGAGTACGGACGACTTCTACACGATCGGTTCCGGCCTTGCCGTTCTGGAGACGACGATCATGAACTACAACGCCTCTCTGTTCGAGGCGATCACGTTCAGCAACATGCTGTATTACTTTCGTGTCCAGATTGCCAACCGACTTGCCAGCACCGGCGCAGAGTGGACGGAGATCTTCGCCAAGTACAACAGCGGAACGTACAACAACCAGTGGACGATTTTCGACTACAAGAAGTTCACGCCGGGATCAGCGCCCGAGACTGGAGCCTTGACCGTCATGGAGCAGCTGCCGACGTATACGCACACGGAAGATCTGACCAGCCTGCTGCACGCTCAAGGTTACTGGCCAAGCTACAACGCCGCATACTTCCCACAAGTGCAGAAGCTTGGGGACACCAAGGGTGCCGAGAAAGACTATGGAGACTTTGTCACGTACGACCATGCTCCGCGCGCCAAACTCTTTAAGCGAGATCATGCCAGTGCCGTCAGCGTCCCGACGCTTTACAAGCTAATGCGCTCGAACGACTTCAAGCACGACGAGTATGGACGCTGCAACTGCACACCACCGTATTCGGGCATCAACGCCATCGCCGCTCGCCTAGACCTGAACCCAAAGGACATGAAGTACGAATACGCCCTGGACGGTTTCAAACTGGCCGGCGCCACCGACTGCAAGATCACCAATGCCGAGATGATGAAGAAACTGCAGGCCAACATCGCGTCTGGTCCAACTTCTGAGCAACAGCCCGTCTTCAAGTGGAGCCAGACCGACGTAGAAAAGCCGCATGGTCATCCCGATGCGTTCAACTTCCCTCCGCTAACCGTTCAATGGGAAGACGTTACTGCATGAGTACAAATTTTCGTCCACGAAATCTTTCCTTAGATCACTACACCAGCAGACTTGTTACGTACTAAATTTCGTTTTTTGGTCGAGGTCTGTCACCCCGAATTTTCAGACAAAAAATCTTTAGTTTGGTACAAACTTTAGTTATTTCGTGCCCCCAATGAATATAGCGAAAGCTAATTCCAAACGAAAATTTGTCCTGATACAGTAGTGTAGAGTTCTAACATGGACAGACACCTTGTGACGTTTTCAGTCTTGATCTCAAAATCGTATATCAGGGAAAAATCTCCATTATGGAGAGGTTCAGTGACTTGTTTGCTTCATACGAAACAAGCCCAAGGGTGCAGTCTCGTCTCGTGAAAATCTCGTACGATTGGATTTGTTTACTCGTGTCTGGGCTGTTTGATTTGTGAGTAGCGCCGAGATCGCACTGCCCCAAATATAGTTGCGTGCCGGCAAAGCTAGAATTACGATCTGCAATCTGTTTGTAGTACCCGCAAGAATGTGCTGCACATGTATCGTGTTTTCTCTGTTGCGGTTTCAGTTGCCGTCATGTTGCTAAAGAAAGGTTCAGTGACTCATTTGTTTCATACGAGACGAGTCGGTGTGGCTTAGCTTCTTTCGCTGTAGAAGAAATCTATTCGTATCTCTATTGGAGAAATCATTGTATTCACTGGTTATAAAATAGGGTTAAAACAAACTCACAGAGTAAATACCATCGGTCCCTTGCCAAGTTGGTGTTCGTCCTATTAAAAGAGGTTCGACTGGATCATTCATACTCACCAAAAGATGTGTAACATTTTATTATTATGAAGTGCCTTGTTTATCTCTCAGTACCTCCAACCATAGCCTTGCCCCTTTTATCCTCAGGATCAATGTAGTTGTTGGAACGAGGTGTACCCCACTCAACAATGTATTTGTTTACATTTTAATCAATCGACGAGGAGACAATAGTCGTAAAATGGCAATAAATAAGATAAATTGTGCACTCATAACAACAGCAAAAATGAAGAAAGTCAAGTTCCATAACGTTTTCTTGTGACTGTCATCAGTGGAACGCCGTCACATAAAAATGTAATAACTAAAACACACACTTATATACATGTAGCTAATATGGTTTCAGGTATCACATTCATCTGCCACTACCATTCTCACATACTCTATATTCACACATTGCAAAGGTGCAAACTTCGCTTTTTGTACTTGTTAGCTGCTGTATTTCTACCTGAAACCATATTAGCTACATGTATATAAGTGTGTGTTTTAGTTATTACATTTTTATGTGACGGCGTTCCACTGATGACAGTCACAAGAAAACGTTATGGAACTTGACTTTCTTCATTTTTGCTGTTGTTATGAGTGCACAATTTATCTTATTTATTGCCATTTTACATTTTAACACACGGCGAGGAGACAATAATTTGATAACCGCAATCAATAAAACTAGCTGAACCGACATTTGTGTACTTTATTCATGCAATGTAAAAACTGTGGAGACGATGTGCAATAAAACGATGAAAATATGAAGAAATGGTGTAGGGAAAAAAATATATGGATTCAAACAAGTTTTCGTACAACACTCATCAGGAATCGTCGTTGTACTAAAGGACACTGAAACAAAAATTGAACTATTATAGAAAATCTAAGTTAGAGAAATAACACTAAGAGCAACAACAGTGAAATTTACAAGTGTGAATTTTAACAATCAAAGCGAGAAATGAACAAAGGAGAAAAGAAGGAAAGACAACGTGATAACACATAACAGCAGTACATTACACCTAGAACATTAACGGCCAAGCTTGGCCGCACTAAACACGACACGTTACTTGAACAATTTCAACCCAATTATACTATCTTTCTGTACACACAAATTAGGCTTATACAGACTCTGATAGATAGCTTCCAACACTTTTAACTGTAGTCCATAACCATGACGACCACGGCACAATACAGTGAACGAAGAGTCGGAATACGAATTGCAACAATCAGGACTAGCTAGCAGATGATTGTAAACTGAAGACTTGCTACCACGAAACCTACGCACAACACTAACACTCTCACCGGCATTCTCACCATCACTCCCATCACTGCTCTCCGACTCACTGCTCCCTCCGCCGTCCGCTCAATCCTCCGCTTCCTCTGTACTCTCTCTGTCTCGTCCATCCCGCCTGACCGGGTCCATTGAACTCAACTCGGCCGTCACCCTGCTATCACGTCCCTCCTTTCGCCCTTGTCCGCTGAGTGCGTAGCTTCTGTTGTAGTTGGCTGTTGATCGTCTTGGTCTTTCAATTGTGGGCTTGGATGGTGGATTAGTTGTGGTTGCTGTAGATTGCGTTGTTGGTGTTGGTGTGGGAGCTACTGATATGCAAGGTGGGTCTTTTTGAGTCGGCATTTGTAGTGTTAATGCAGCTGTCAGTGTTGCTCGCGGTCTCCCACCGGCAAGCTCCACCGCCGCAAGAACCGATGGTGGAGGATCAGGAGGAGGCAGTGGGACCGGGACCGCAAGCGGCACCGCCTCAGCCAAAGCCGCCGGGGGCACTGACGAGGGAACCACCGACGGCCGGAGCAAAGGCGGCGACACAAGCCGACCCGATGAGCCACCACGCCCATTCTCCTCCACCACCGCCACCAGCGACGGCGGAGCAAGCACAGTCCGTGAGCCAGGATCCGCGGGTTGTGTAGGCAACGGCTGTGTGGTTATTGGTTGTTTTCTAGGTCGCCCTCGCTTCGGTCTTTGTTGTTGTGCGCAAGGTGGAAGTATGTGACGTGGTGTGTGTTGTTTGATGCGTGCGTTCAGGTGCTGAACAGTCCTACCAACATACCGACTAGCGCATTGTCGGCATTCAAAGTTGTAAATAAGATGACTTAGGTGATGGGCCGGTAGGACATCCTTCCGCACCGTAAACGCACCCATCGTCGTAAAGACTGGCACGAAGTGTACTGCGTAGTATGTTCGACGAACAACAGACTTGACTGCACTACAAACTTTAGTCGACTCCTGCCCTTTCCACGGCAAACATAAATAAACGGGACAACGAGCAGGACCAATCATAGGAGCCTTCGTAGTTTGTTCGACTTTCAATAACTTCTGCAACAAAAACTCAGGGTACCCGTTCTTGACAAAAACTGACCGGAGAAAATCAAGCTCTTCCTGCAGCTTGCAGGACGAACAAATACGCTTCGCACGATCTACAAGGTTACGCACTAAGTTTACTTTATATTGAGACGAACAATAAGAGTCATATACAATGTACAGACCAGTAAACGTCGGCTTTCGATAAACGGTGGTCAGAACGTCACTACTCGTTTTTTCCACAAGCACATCTAGAAATGACAATTTGTTGGACTGTTCATGCTCACATGTAAAACGAAGGGCAGGGTGAATACTATTTAACACGTCAAGAAACTCGTTACTACGCTCCTCATTATCAAAATATGTGAATGAGTCGTCCACGAAACGTACATAAAGGTCAGGCCACAATGAATCATCAATTTTCGACTCACAGTAACCGACAAACACGTTTGCCAATACCGGACCAAGGGGCGAACCCATCGCAACACCATCGACTTGTTTGTACATGACATTGTTGAACGAAAACTCAACACCAGTTGTGACCAGCAACAACAACCGTCTAAACGCACTTTCAGATATCCAAGGAGTGTCAACGTCATCATTACGGTACAAAACATCCATGCAGATGTCGACAGTTTCTTCAATCGGCACATTAGTAAATAAACTGACGACGTCAAACGAACACATGTGTGCGTTTGGTGGTACAGGCTTGTTGCGGAGCTTCTCGACGAAATCAAAACTGTCTTTTACAGTGCGCTTGCAGTAGTGGTCCTGCACTGGTTGTAAGTAAATACACAGCCACTTGGAAATAGAATATTGGGGTGAAGCCGTCATGGAAACGATGGGACGTACTGGACATGTGGGCTTGTGTATTTTTGGTAAGCCATATAGCCTAGGCCGGAGGGTGCCTGTCGGTTTAATGCGATCGAAATCATTTGAGAATATTTCACCGTCGTCTTTCAGTTTCTTTAGGTAAGCTATTAGTTATTTTTCTACTTTCTCTGTTCGATCAAAACTTTCAACTGGGCCGAGGGTCTGGAACTTTGACGTGTCATTTAAGATGACAGACATCTTGTCGATGTAATCGGTTCTGAGCATCAGAACTGTAGCCCGCCCTTTGTCCGGGCGCGTGACGATGATTTCCGTGTTTTTGCGGAAGTCACGGAGGGCTTTCATGTGTTCCTGGCCTAAGGAAAATGATCGCTTATCTGGAAGTTTGTCCGCATGCTCCTCAGCCTCAGCTCGGATCTTTGCTGCGCATATTGATTGTTGGGCCTCTGATGTCGGCGTCAAACGTAATAACTTTCGATAAAACAATTCAAACTCGGTCATGATAACTTCCTTTTTATTTGATGATGGGGGAACGCCAAAATCAGTGCCACGGCAAAGGAGCTCCTTCTGCACGGTAGTCAATTCCAATTTAATACATGTTTATTGTTCCTCCTTTGCTGTGTTGTTTTAGACAACCGTGGACTAACACTTTGAAGTCATTGAACTACTTCCAAAAGTTGCATCGACATCAACAGGACTTCGATTTCAGTGCAATATGATGCAGGGTGACCTTATCACGATAACTCACGATTATAAACAATTATAAACACAGAATCAACAAAAACATCTGCGACACGCACCTGGCTACATTTCTCAAGTAAATCTGATCGAGGGTGGGGAAATCTGAAATATCTGGAAGGCAAGACAATTTTATGACAGTCATGAAATTCTGCAACAGCAACATCCACAGAATGACCTGCCATTACCCACATCATCATCGTGACTGGACGTGACATGTTACCCCCCGCAGAAGAACACGCATTATGCTAGCGCCATTTTCTGCAAGAAAAGGCTTGCACATCAATGCGTACAATACGGTACATACATGTACATGTATACGGCGCTAGGGCATTCCATTGGTGACAGAAAAAAACAAAAGAAATAAAAACTGCTTTATGATTCTTTACGTCGCGTTCCCATAACGTAAAGCAGAACCTCCCTAATACCAAGAGTACATCTACATGTGTATAACCCCCCAAGAGTGTGCAACTCCGGATACCCTTTCTATGGGGTATGCCGACGGCGAAAACTCACATCACGTGGTGCAGTGTCGCAGTTGTACGTTTCCAGCCCGTTTTTAGCGAGCAGCGGAGTAATGAAAAATGCACTCTCTGACAGAAACTCACTTACAGGTATGGTATGCAAGCCCCCAGCATGATCATGGCAGATAATTCGGATTGCGCGCACGCTATTCTTCGTTTGTACGGACGTATCTGAGACACGTGATGTGAGTTTTCGCCGTCGGAGAGGAGACCCCATAATCATTATGCAGAGTTGCACACTCTTGAGGGGTTATACTCTTGCTAATACTAGTAGTACTTACATGTATACATGTACTAGTAGTACCAAGATCAAGAGTACATAACCCCCCATTGCGTCATAAATAATGACGTCAACTTGAAATTCTGTCGGGACAGCAGGGTATGTGGGAGTTGCACACTCTGGGGGGTTATGAACTCTTGGTGTTGGCAACTGAAATCCGACCCCTTACTGGGCCTTAGCGACGCGTTCACATTCTAGCGGTCTCTACTACATGTACTAGTATTTCGTAGTCTTACTATCCCGTTTAGGGTCTTTACGATGTGAGCGTACCG